GGACATTTCGAATTTGCACTGTCGTTTTGTACAGGCCGAACTTCGGAGCTAAACTGAAAACCGGTTCTGCTCGATGCCAGCGCCAACGGACCCAACGGTTTCGACTAAACGTAACAATAGAAATAAAAGCCATCTACCAGGGGTGCGTTCCAAAACCTACAGTAAAACTATAATTACATCTCTATACGTTTTGGATCGCAGCCCTGAAAGGTAAAATCCCCGCTCCGGGTGAGTATACCTGCTGCGTGCTATTAGAGCCTCGACGCTGCTCAAGAGATTTGTTGCGCTCGGAGGCCATAACTTCCGAACGGCTGCGAATTTCGATTTAAAACGTTGGGAACATATTCTTACAATGTTAAATAAACATTTTATGCAAAAAAAAAAAATTCGATTTTTTGAAAGTTCTAATTGGATTTCCCCCCTTAACGTAGCGAATTTGCTACACATGAACAACTAAACATTATTTATTGCTTTAGCTACTTTTTTTGTTGCAGGAGCAGATTTTTTTGTTATCATAGCAAGGAAATTGGCTCCTGCAACAAAGAAAAAGTGGCTAATACAGCGAATTATGTTAGTTGTCTATATTTAGCAGATTTTTTTTTTCCGTGTACCTATATTGTTGTTTAATTTCACTGGCACGAAAATAGGAGCGTTGTCTATGGGCATTTGGCCTCACTCTTTTGCTCCTACATCGATTTTATAAACTTCCTATCTGAAGGACCTATATAGACTACGGAATATCTGGATAGAGCACAGGGTACTTCTGCGGACGCGAGATGTGAAGCTTCAGAGATGAGAAGAAATATCTCTCACGGCAATCTTGAAACGTCTGTGAAACTAGGGCATAACATTTTACAAATTCAAAAAGAAACAATGATAGTTCTATTAGCACTTTTTATAGTTCCACAGTTCTAGATAAAAAAACAAAAAGAATTCTGCATTTTTAATATAAAAATATAGCACACCAAGTTTTTGTACTTTAGTTGGTCTTGATCAAAAGCCAGTTCTATGGGATTTAAAATTTATATAAACTTTTAATCAATAGGACAAAACAAAAATGATTAATTTTTATGTCAATTAAATTGATATATATTTTTCATAATAGTAAAATTTAACGTTCATTTTATGAAACTTAAAATTTATTTGTGCCATTATCACGCTACCGCGTCGCTTGATCTGCGAGGAAATCTTTTCCTTAAAGTGACACCGTGAATCCCATTTTTTTTTGCTTGGGCAAATTTGCTTGTTGATAAAAATCGTGCTTGAGTGTCGAGTCGATTCGGAAGCTAGCAGGCCATTGGCATCGGCTTTAGTTGGCGGCTGCGCTCATTCTTCTACTCATTCTTCTTAAAACTCTCCTCAATCTCCTTGGGTGACTTGCCGCTCGTCTCCGGCACGCTGATGATCACGAAGATGAAACCTACCACAACGAAGACGCCGAACAGCCAAAAAATGCCGGGCTTGCCGATCACCGCTACGACGTTTTTAAAAGTCTTCGCCACTATGAAGTTGCACATCCAATTGAAACTGGTCACGATACTGGCGGTCGAGCTACGGGTTTTGGCCGGCAAGATCTCGCCCATTATCAGCCAGGGAATCGGACCAAAGCCTATCAAATAGCCTATCATGTACACAATTAGGTTGATCCCCAGCAGGAATTTCAAACTCCCGTCGACATCTTTCGGTATGGCGTAAAGGAGCCCTCCGAAAGAGAAGAGCGACAAAGCCATCAACACGCTGCTTATATACAGCAGTTTCTTTCTGCCTTTGTCGATATAGCGCGTGAAGATGAAGTGAGATATGGAGTACACGAAGCGGAACATACTTAGGCTCGTTGAGGTGATCTGAAAACGAGAAATTGTTCGTTAATTGTTGCCGCGCATGTCGATTTTTCCAAATTGAATTTATATAAAAGTAACTTCTGTCGTTTTTATTCGAACATACGTTCAATAATCGATTATCTTTAAAAGTTAGCGTTAGTTCAATCATTTGGTACGTACATCGATAAATTCCCACATGTAGAATTGAACCACGTAGGTGCCCGACATTTGTTGGAACCACATCAGCCCCAGGGAAACAAGCAGTGGCTTCAGATTGTTTCTCTTCAGCAACTTCGAGATTGTATTATGAGAGACGTTTCGTTCGTTCTCGATGAATAACTTCTCGATCATAGTCAGTTCGTCGGTTATATCGGTGTCTGTGCCGCGCAGCGTTTGCAGAATTTTTTGACTTTGCGCTGTCTTTCCCTTAGAGATGTACCATCCCGGCGTCTCAGGGGTCAGAGACAATATAAAAATCAGGAATATAAGCAGACTCGCGCTTAGCAGCAACATTTTTTCCCGGGCCAGAAAAATGTCCAATATCACGCATATTATTGTTCCTACATCACACGTGAAATATACATACTTATGAGTTTGGTATATCGCAATCTGAATATTTACAAATTGTAATTTTTTTTTAATAATATATATTTCAGTTTCTGAAATATAAATAGCATAATTCGAAGCGGAATAATGAATCAAGGAGGAATGTTGACATGTTCCTCGATTACATGAAGAACAGTCGCGAATACTCGCGTTTTTTTAAATTTGTCAAAATGGATACTTGGAGCTTTCGTTTCACTTACCGTAGTTACCAAATGTATTGGGCAATGTGCCAAGACGACCGCGCAATTTTGTCTGCATTGTCTCGCATAAATACACAGATAGCGATAAGGAAATAATGCCCATGCTAAATCCGCATAATGCGGGTCCTACTAACAACACCGTGGCGTCCTGAGTCAACACGATTAAAATAAATGCTGCAATAAACGAATCATTGTGTCATCATGTGTCTCAAGTATACTATTTGTACGTACGTTAACGTATTGGATGACTTCAGAACCATGTAATATTAACTTATAATTGATATACTGAGAGAAAATTATAGTTGCTTTTGATGTCAACTATAATCATCTTTTGTGATTTTAACCACAAAAACAATTGGAAGAATTGTTTTTTAATGTGTTTTAGTAATTATTATTATTTTAGTAAGTGTTATTAGAAAGATGATTTTTCTAATTATTTTTGTTAAAATTACAAAAAAATATAGTTGACGCCGAAGCAACATAATATAATTTTCTCTTAGTATAAACACGTCATTGTATGTTTCGTAACTTACATCCGATATATGGGAGCGTTGTGGCTAGTATCGTGTATCTTCTTCCGAGATACTCGATGCATGGCCCTCCAGCAATTCCTCCGAAAAATGCACTTAGAGGTATAATAATCATGTATTCCCTGATCCACGTATCCTATAACATTATAATTTAGAATACGATATTAATTTAGAGAATACGATCAGGAGTGAAGATGAAGTTTTCTTTAAAAAGAATTTGATAGATTATTGTCATTTCTCGCGATATTTTGATAATCTACGTTAAATATCAATGCTAATAGAAAATCATGAATAAACTTTTCTTTGATAAGAGTTTGATCATCATGATAATCAGCAGGTTCTCAAACAAACGTGCGTGAAGTGTCTATCTCATAATCTTTATATTTTGCACTTAACAAGATCGGATTCTCGTACTTTTGTTTCACGGTCAGACACAATCGAGATTG